CGACCGTCCTGGATACCTGCCTTCGTGAGAAGGTCGCCCCCCTTAACAACTTGTAGGTGCAGCTGCCACGTGGGCTCGCATCGTGGCAACGCACTCCACATAGCGCCCGGGATCGTCAAAGTCTAATCCATAAATGTCATCGTCATCCGCGGAGCACAGCGGGACATGGTCTGTCTCGGCTGCGTTGATGCTTTGCGGGTTATTCCACGTAGGCAAGCGCCCTTGCTGTTCGTCAGCAACTGTTGCCAGCGCTCTGTTGTCAGTATTCATATGTGTGGGCAAGGTATATACTTCTTCTACTGGGGCTGCTTCCAGTAATTCCCTTTCGTCTTGCAGTTCCGTACGCCGCACTTCCATACTATGCGCCTCAAGGTCCGCCTCTGGGCTCTATGGCACTGCTGCCTTGTGTCGGCATGTCTGCCCGTTCTTCGAATTGTGTCATGTCCTGATCGAAGCCCGCATGTGGTTTCGTGGACTTCAGGCATTGGATGATTCTCGCGCGCGCTGATCCAGTAGCACCCTGGATGTTTAAGGCAGCGCCTTCAGCTTCGTAGTCGTGAAACCCTGGGTTCACATCGTTGTCATAGTGCACCAACGTACAACTGTCAACGTACGCAACCGGGGCTGACTTGTGGATACTGTTAGCTAACCTATCAGAAACATTTTTTGTCGAGAGCTAAGTGCAACTTCGGAGATAACCGGCTCGCACTTGCCATCAGCAGTTTTTCTTGTTTTGCCAGGAGAAAGCCAAAGGAAGACCATGGCAAGCCCCCCCGCAAGCAAACTCGCGACGAAGGCCAACACAGTCCGCAATGCTGCGTTGTCCGAGCCAATTTCTCGGGAGATCAGCGCTTGAATGTAGAACATGTGTCTAGCATCGCCGTATTGTACTTGTACGTCACGGCTCCCAACCCGCACGATAACTTGACCACTTCCAGGATCGATTCGCACGACCGGGCATGGTCCATTCCAGCCACCCCAATCGTCTTTCGTGGTGGCGGGTCGATGGTGTCAACCGGACCACCTTCGTTGTAGTAGGACCAATGACGGTCGTCTTAGCTCGTAGTGCACGTCGCGTCTTTGCTATTGCTGTAGCCTGTGCGATCGCTTCGATGTTTACGCGCCGGATAGTCGGTTCTGGGGTTGCGATCGGATGCATTCGTCTGTTGCTCGTGGTCCAGAACAGGCAAGTCGGGAAGCATAGCTGGCTGTCGGCCGAACAGTGCGACGGATGGTTATACTTCGTTGTAGAAAATGAAATCACTGCTGGCAGACAAAGCCTCATGCAATAGTCGGGTGGGCACAAAACGCATGTCTAACCGATCAAGCTCAACCTCGATAACGTAAAGCAGGTGTCGTAATGTGCCGCGCCTGGCTTCAATGGTGGCAGCGCGTTGTCCACGAGCGCGTATTCTGATATAAGTGCCCTCTGACTTAGGACTGACTTCGCGGCGTCGTCGCTGAGAGCACCTTCTCCGTCGGAGTGCAATATTTTGGCAGGCCCAAATTGCATCCAACGCTAATGGTACGCATCTGGGATGTTGGTCCTAGTTCTGAGCGGCATCTCAAGGCCAGCAGCGCCGCGTCGAAAGCAGCGGCCAATTGCGTGGAATACCTTATGCTCCTGTTTGTAGAAACATCAAGTCGCATTCGACATCCCCACTGAATTTGCCAGGTAGTGAGGTCGATGGCAGTACTGCCCGCCCAAGCTTGCCCCAGGCCCCTCACTCTCGGCACGTGGCACAGACGCCTTTTTTTTTATCGGGCTCAGCCGCGCGCTGCCCACGCAAGCCTTGGACAACATAGATCTCACATTACGCGCCTTCGCGCGAAACCATCGTAAGGGTAGTTCCCGTAGCTCGCGCGCTGCCACGCCTGGGTCAAAGTTCCGAAGGTTCTGGAAGCTGATATGTACATTGAGTAGCGGCCAGTCTGGCAGTCTTGGCCGAGGAGCAGGCTTACCCGCCGAAGGCGGTGGAAGTGGAGCACCTCCCTGCTGTCGCCCACGTCCGGCTGCCAACTCTGCGGTAATCGGGTGTGACTCGCGACGAAAATGCTGGGTGCAATGGCAAATCTCACATCCCGTGGTTTCCCCGCCCGCGTCCTTCGGGTTGCCCCGACGCCCCCCGCCCTATCTCCTGCGGGGCGCCTACGGCCCCTGCCCTCGCCCAAGAGTCCCCCCGCGGGCTTTGGATCCGCAAGAGACGCCCGGAACGTAAATGTGCCTCTACCGTGCAGCCGTCGTCTTTGACCCTTGCCTTTACCTCTACCCTTCGACCTAAACGCGCGTCAGATCGCACGTCGCGCCCTTCGGATCGGTTTCTTCGTGAGACGTCGCCATCGTCGCTCATGCGCACGAAAACCAGATATATCCATTGTGCATGTTATTTTTCGGCGAGGTGTACAGGCACATCAGAGAAATCTATGGGCTCGGCGCCGCCATGCGACGATGCGTCGGCATCTGTGCCCGAGTCGAAGGAAGAGCATCATTCTGGCTCCGCGGGTTTCCCCGCCGAGCCAATGAAGGGATCGGCGCGGGCGGGGGCCCCCGTTGCCGATGGCCCCCGATATTGAGCCCAGGAGTCTTGTAACCCCGAGGGCTGGCCGCCCTGTTGGCTTAGTAGGGTGGTGGCCTCGGTCGGTTGTGGATCGTCGTTCCAGACTGCGCTGGCAGGTTGCCACGCGCGAGCGTCGCCGCGGAAGACATCGGCGCGGTGGCCCCGAGGGAATACATCACCAACGTTGCCAGGGGCGCGCTCAGCAATGTGGGCACATGCCCTCGTGCGTTCAATTGAAGATTCGACTTGGTGCTGAGTCCTTGGCATTTGGTGGTTCAGAAGTTGTAGTAGTTGTTGCGCGCAAGAGGTGCCGACACCTGGGGCCCTGAACAGCATGACTGTTAGGATTTGGAAGTTTGGGACGTGGTTGCCCCGGCGACGGCGTCGAAGCACGCGATGTCGAAGCGGGCCAGCGTCTGGTCGATCCGTTCTCCTGCATGAACACGAAAGTCGATGAGAGCCGCCCCCGAGTTCAGTTGTCGTTTGTCTTTGGGGTTCTCGAACTAAGCGCTGAGGGGGGGCGCGCTATAGGTTGCCCCATCGGCGTGGCGCCCACCAGTGTTCACTCCAAAGTTGATCACTGCCGGGGGGGCTCTCATGGCAATGGTCCTTGCCAGGCCTCCCAGGCCACGCTGTAAGGCAGCGGCCTGTTGGGAGGGAGTCATGGCGCCTGTGGCCACGCTGATCCAGGCGTGCACCTCGCGAACGTACTCGCGGAAGGGCACGTTGCCGTCTGGGCCCCAGTGAGAGCCGGCAGTGCGCGTGTCGTCTGCGCCTCGCTGCGTGCGCCCAACAACACATCCGATAGCGACCCAAAGGATACCAAATACAGCAATGTTGATCTAGTGGCCTCGTAGGTCGGTGTCGGTGGTGGGTTGTTGCTGTTTACTAGCTGACGTTACCGTCAGCTTGCGAGGAGGTGCAGGAGGCACGCGTTCAGAACGCATGTTGCCATGCATCGTGTCTTCCAAGAAGTTGCCAAGTGGCGATGGTGGGTGGACTTTGAGAGTATAGTAGCTCAGAGCAGTTGGGCTCAGGTAGGATACCTCTGCGTAAGCAGATGTCCATGGTCTCCTCCACGTAGAGCCACTGCGCCCTGATGGTCCACCATAGCAGTTGTCCACCATATAGCGCCGTGGATAGCAAGGAGTAGAGCTAGAGCTGGCCACCAGCGGCCGGCTCCGCTACCAAGTGCAATATGAAGTGGTAGGCCTGACCACATACGTAGCCACTTATTCGGTCTGTCGTATCGTGGTAGCGATAGGGCAAGATAGAAGAGATGACCGCGTAAACGGCAGGAGGGTAGCATCTCAAGAGTAAAAGGTGGAACCTTTTCCGTATCGATGCTTGGTAGCGTGTCGCGGCGCGACACGGTCATATTTTCGGCCGGACGTTTGGGCCAAAATGGCCGCGGACAAACGCTTGCAACCCCCCGCCACTTCTCGCCTTTGTCCCTCTTCCTTCAGAGTAAGGCCCCCGAGATGCCCCCAAGAGGCCCTCGAAAGACCCCAAGAGGGCCCCCAGGGACAGCCAAGACGTCCCAAAAGGCCCCCAGGATCGGCAAGAGGTCCCCAAGACTCCCCAAGAGGCCTCCAAGAAGCGCCAAAGACTTATCCTAAGAGACTCCGAGAGGCATCCAAGAAGCCCCTGGCACCTCTGCTCGCCCTCCTCCTCGTTTTCCTCCTCCTCCTCCTTCTCCGCCTCTTCCTCCTCCTCCTCATCATCATCACCATCATCATCATCAGCATCATCATCATCACCAACACCACTAGCAGCAGCTTCATCAGTATCATCATCATATTCAGCATCAGCATCAGCATCAGCATCAACATCATTAGCACCATCCTTATCATCAGCATCATTAGCAACATAATCATATGCATCATCATAAACATCAGCAGCACCACCAGCCTCATCATCAGCAGCCGCACCATCAGCGTAACATTCGTCATCATCATCATCATCATCATCATCATCATCATCATCAGCGTTATCATCATCACCACCAGCATCATCAGCAGCATGCTCAGCAACATCAGCAGCACCATCATCATTACCACCGACAGCCGCAACATCATCATCATCATCATCATCATCACCATCATCAACATCATCATTATCATCATCATCATCATTATCATCATCCTCATCCTCATCTTCATCCTCATCCTCATCATCATCATCATCATCATCATCATCATCATCATCATCAACATCAGCATCATCATCATACTCACCCACCTATTGCACTATTGCTCAACCTTCCCATTCCTCCCTCATCCATCCCCTCCTCCTTCGAACGATAACGGCTGACCCCGCTTTTCTCCCACGCTTCCCTGATCATCTCAACTGGCCAAGGCACCGTTGCTGGATGGGCTATGGGGATACGCCAAGCGCCACAAAGAACCCTGTACTCCGACCCAAGCTTCCTGCAGGCCGCACCTGCGAGGAGGCTCCACACCGCGCTGGCTGGGGCACCCGTCCACCGCGGCGCCCAGCGGGCCGTCGGCGCGCGGGGGGCATCCGCCGTAGCCGAGCAGCCGCCCCCCCCCGCCGCCGGGCAGAAGCGAGGAGCGAAGCAGGTCGTCGTACCTCTGCCGCCCAGCCTCGTCCACGTCAGTGGCGTACCCAGGTGCCCGCTCCCCCAGGCTGTCCGGCGGCTTCGGGCCTGCCGCCGGACACCAGTTCTCGGGCCCCTTTGCCGCGAGCCCGTGCCGGAAGGCGGGGGAACGCCGGCTGGGCACGGAGCGCTCGCAGTGCACCTCGCTGCGCCGCGCACCCCCGCCGTGCGGGTCCGCGAGGCCGTCGGACCAGTCGGCGTCGGCTGCGGCGCATGCGGAGTCAGCGGCGGGGGCGGAGCGGCACATCGCTACGCGTGGCCGTGGCTGCCGCCGCGAGAACGCGCAGGAGATCCGCGCGGGGGGGGGGGCAGGGAAGAGGTGGCCAGGGGAACGGTCCCGAAGCTACCAGGAAGCTGCCTCTTGAGCCGCGAAGGAAAAGAAAGAAACACTGGGCAGCCACGGTCTGGCAGCTGGCGAAACGTCTGGATCTTCACGCACCCTCGCCATGGGGCTGGCTTTGAGGGGGGCTGCTCGGCTGGCCGCTGGCCCGATTGGGCGAGCGGCCTCGCGACAGCCCCTCCACGCGACTTCGAGTGGCGACCGGTAGCGAGACCCAACCTCTGGTGAGGAAGGTGCCGAAGACAGCCGCGGGAGGGATTTAGCGATTGGGGCTGGCAGGGATTCGCTGTCCCGTGGCGGAAGTCAGCAGGACAAGGCCGGGAGCCGGGCACGCACGATCGTTTCCACCAGATGCTTTACACCAACAACCTGGGCCCCGGATGTCCAACGCGTGCCTCCCTAAGCTGCCTAGCCCCCCGCGGCCGCGGCTTGGGCCGGGAGCAAGTGATATCGGCCTTCGCGAGCAGCACCCGAGCGTGGGCGGGCGTCCGCCCGAAGCGGACAGAGGATAGATATGCAACACATATGGCCCTGTCCCCCATGATTTTCACCTGGTTGAACTTGTTTTCGCTAGATGTCACATCACCCCGACCAAGAAGCAACTGGCATCGGCGCATGTCCTCAGATCAGCTGCCCGCTCCCGCATTCCTCAGGTGACCATCCATAGCGGAGACACCATGCATGTCATACCGCTATTCCATTCTCTATGCTGGGCCATCATTCAAACATCGCACTGGGCCAACAAAGGTAAGCAATCGACACGCATGCAGCCCAACAACACGAAATATGGCGGATACTACCAAGCGATGGTGTTACAGTGGACAGCGGATGCCACGGCGGGTGGTGAATTCCGTACACGACTCCAGCTTGATCTCGGTTGCCACTCGAGATGCGCAAGGCTACGACATGTCCCAAGTCCCCCCTGCAGCCCACCACCTCGCAAGCAGCGCCGGCGCGCTGCCTGTAATCTCCGATGGGAGCTATGGCTAGCTGGGCGACTGGGAAGCTTGGCCCCCTGCCTCCCATTCCTGCCGTTTTACATAATAGCGCTTCGGATACGACCGCACCCCCAACGGTGGACGCGGGCGGGTGGCGGCCCGCTTTTGCGCGCGAGCCCAAGCTGCAGGCGGAGGAAAGGAGGGAGCCAACTGAAGACTCTGTGGGGCACTGGAAAACGGTCCCCTGCCTCCCCTCCCGCCGTTTTACATTGGAGCGTTTCGCATAGTACGGCGCCCCCAAAGGAGACTAACGGAAAACGACGGGACAAAAAAACATGATGACATCGGAATTGCTTCTTCGTCTGACTCCATGCACAAAGCCACATCTAAAACCTGGTGTTCAATTTGTGGTCGGCGATATGTAGGCCGTGACGGCCCTGGTCCGCCAACCCCCCTCTGGCGCAGACCGCGGCGAAAACGTCAGAATCATGGATGTCGAACGTGGCCACGTGGCGGAAAGCATACAACACTATCCCAGAGGTTTCTGCCGCCGGCGTGCCGACGGCAACGAGGACGTCGCGAAGGTCGGCCAGGAATTTGCTGTAGTACCCGGGCATGTATACAATCGCGGTCAAGCCCACGCTGCCTGCAAGCAGCCAGGACGCCCACATGTGCACACAAAGAACGGGACCAACTTTGCAAACACACCTGGATTCGAGTGTGGACTGCGCCGAGCAAGCTGCCATTGACACTAAGCTTCAAGTGCCCCAAGAGCTCGAACGGGGCCCGAAGAAATAATGCATACGCCGCCATGTAGCCTATGCCTCGGAAGTAATTCCCAGTCTGAGCACAATGAACCAGGAGCTGCCCCGGCTTGCCCTTCTGAGTACGTGGCCTAGGAGGCGCTGGAGGCTGCAGCTTGCGCGCCCTCGACCTGATGTCAGCCAAGACTGGAGAATGCTTTACGGGCCAACGATCGCCTGCCAGATGGTGGAGCTTGCGCCACGCTGGCAGCCTGCAGCATAATCTTGAGCGTGCCCATGTGTGATCACAGTGGCGAATGTGCACACTGTGCAGAGGGTTGTGGGGAAAATAACATGCTCAGGAGCTCGCAGCACGCGTTCACTGTCCTTGCGGACACAATGTATCTACTGAGCGAACCACCGACGGAGGTGCCGAGCGTCTTTATCAGCAAGACGTCCAACATCGCATGGACGTCGAAACCCTCCTTATGGGCAGAGCGCAGCATGTCGAGCTGATCTCGCGGATGTGCGTTCACGTTTGTCCTCCGCCGCACCCCGATGAAATCGCGCACAGCGTCTGGCTGGCGCAACCTGTGCCAGCGAAATTGCCGACTCCACGCTCTTTAGAACGCCAGTGTCGACGCACCCTCTTACCAGCATCAGCCATGGCTTCAGCTCGTCCAGACATGGGAGAGAGCGTGATCCACCGCCGCTTTACTATGGAAAATTCCCCCCCCTCTTCCTCCGGAGCCCGGGGGTCACCCCCCCTCTCTCCGAAAATCCCCCTCCCCCTGCTGGACCCCCCCCCCTCCCCTCCCCCGGCACCCCCCCTCCCCCCTACCCCCCCCCCCTTTATCCCCCTCGAAAACCGGGAGGGGTCACTACCGGTTCGAACCCCCCCCCCCTCGAAAACCGGAGGGGGGTCACTACACCGTCCGCACCACATCCCCCATTGTTGTTCCCAGCACCAGCGTCCTCACCACCACTGTCCCGCTGGTTCCACCACCGTCCCTGTATACTGTCCCCACCAGTGCCCCCACCACTGTCGCACTGTCCCCACTGTCCCCACCACTGTTCCCACCACGGTTCCACTCTCCCCACTTTCTCCACGGCTCCAACCACTGCCCGACTATCCCCACTGTCCCCACTGTCCCAGTGACTCCTCCGCTGTCCCACTGAGCTGTCCCACTGTTCCCACCACTGTCCCTACTGTCCTCACCACTGTCCCCACTGCACCTCTGTCCCATTGTCCCACCGCCGTCCTCGCCACCGCCTTCACCACTGTCCCCACCACCACTGTACCCTCCACTGTCCCACTGTTTCCCCCACATTCCCACTGTCCCCACACCACTGTCCCCGCCACCACCGTCCCCACCACTGTCCCACTGTCCCCACTGTTCCCACCACTGTCCTCACCCGCTGTCCCCACCACTACCGTCCCCACCACTGTCCCGCTGTCCCCACCACTGTCCCGCTGTCCACTCACCACTGTCCCCACCACCACCGTCCCCACCACTGTCCGCACCCCCCCCCCTCGGTTTTCGAGGGGGGGGGTTCGAACCGGTAGTGAACCCCCCCGGTTTTCGAGAAGGGGGGGGGTCGAACGCGTAGTGACCCCCCCCCCCTTGTCATGATGGACTGCGGGGAAGGGGGGGGATGGGTTGGAACCGGTAGTGACCCCCCGGTTTTCTGGAGGGGGGGGGGTTCGAACCGGTAGTGACCCCCCCCCGGTTTTCCGCCAGCAGCGGTAGAACACTCTCTTCCAGACATGGGGCAGCAGCAACTTGCCGCTGGAACTCACGAAGATCAGCCATCCGAACTTCCTCCAAAATTCCCCTGCCCGCAGCCTCAAGCGATGCCCGGGCACGAGAAGGCAGGCACTCGCAGGACACCCTGAAGAGCTGGCCCTGTTCGAGTGGAGAGCGCGACGCCAGAAGGGGGAATGGCACGCGCCAGCTGCCCGCCGCCTGGAACGCGGATCGGGGTCTGGAGGCTTGCAGCCCTGGATCGCCTCGCCTGGCGAATAGCGGCGGAAGCAGCCGCCGCGCGCTGCTGGAAGTCGGCAGGGCCGGCAGGGCGCATCGATCCCCATGTACTCCGCGTCCGAGGCAGAGCTGCACAGCCCGAATAGCGCGCCCCGCGAGCGTGCATTCTGCGCCAGCGTGTGCACCTGGCCCGATTGCGGACCTGGCGCCGAAGGATTCAAAGCAACGCTGACCCGAGAGCAGCTCTGGGGAACTCCGTCACACGCTGAATCCGACTGGAATCCAGAGTCTCGCGCCCAATCCAAGGAGGATCAAGCCCCAAGTGACGGCCACACCGGCGGGAAATGCCGAAGGCGATGACAAGTAAAAGAGCGCTGGACTGTGTCAGAAGCTCCGCACGAGATCCCAACGAACATCCAAGAGGGCTCAAGCACCAGTCACGGTGACGGGAAAGGCCGCATGCCATCAGATAGTTGCCGCTTGGCGTCCCACTGTTTTGCAGCTGTGCCGCCAGCAGTGGAACGAGCTTCACCTGTTCTGCCAATGCGCCTGCGCAGTTTCCCTCAGCCACCCACACGCACCCACTTTGCCCACAAAGCGGCGGCAGCGGCGGCGGCAGGCCGAGCGAATGGCTCCAACTCTGGAGCCCCCCGGGGAAGGAAACGGATGGGGAGGCAGGAACGGGGGGGAGGGCAGGAGAGGGGAAGAGGAGGAGACAGAACGATGATGAGGTGCACCAGCCTCCGGCCACCTGGTTGAGGCCCTGAGCGGCAATTCTCGACGAAGCGTGCATGCAAAACGCGGTGGGGATCGATGTACCTCAACGCAAGAGAAAGCATAGCCCGACCCATCGACGAGGCATCACGACCAAAACATAACAAAACAATACGAATATCTTCGCACCACAGACCTCGCTCGCCAATCCCTGGTCCACACCGTCGATCGGCGACAAGCACCCGGCCCCGACACGCGTCGCCTCTGGCCCTGACGACGGGGAGGGAGGGGCGAAGGAAGTGAATGATGGCGGAGACAGCGACGATGACGGAGCAGCAAGAGCACAAGACGTAAACGACGGAGATGACATCCAATCGCTCTTTGCCGAATCACGCGTGTTCAGAACGCACCATGCACCATGCGGCACGTTCAGACGGCCGCCTCCCGTGCGCGGCTGCCAGCGACCTGCGTGGAACAGCGCGGGCTGGACCACGCCGTGAGTGCCGCGAGGGAGCGCGAGCTCCGCCTCGGGCGCGAAATCGACGAGGAGGCGCCAACCCTGGCCCTGCCCAACAGTGAACCAAAAGGTGCCCGAAGGCCCCGCCCCGGAACGACTGCCGAGGAGGCGCAAACCCTGCCCCGGCTGGAAGCGTGGAAGTGTGCGAGCAGCTCTGCCCCACTGCGCTGAAAGCTTGCGCGGGCGATCGCCGACCCTACGAGCTGGGATCGAAATGCCACTGCGCTGGCGTGACGGCGTCTACCTGGCGCCAACCGCGTGCCAAAGCAGGCTTGGTGACGAGGCGGCCCAGCGCGGCTGCTGGATTTGCCCCCGATGAGATACGGACCATCCAGAAGCGCGCGCCTCGCAGGCGGGCTGCCCGCCAGACTCCGGCGATCAGTCAGCGCGGCAAGACGGACCCACTTACGCCTTCGCGGATGACGCCCTCGTCCGCGGAGCGGTCCACGACGATGGCCACGCTGGCGCCCTCGAAATGAAGGCCCCGAGACTTGGAAACTGATCCACGCCCACATGGTCTCAGCCTCGTTGATCCGCTACTCCTTCCAGGGCGGCAGGAAACGAAGGCCGCGCCCACTGGCGCGACGTAAAACATTGCGACTGGCTGTCGCGTGTCCAGGAAGACGGCGCCGAGAGCTTCTGTTCCGCACGGTTCCCCGCGGCCTCTGGCATCGCCGACGAGCGCGCAATGCGGCCGCGATCGATGGCGGCGCAACGCCAGGCGGGAAAACCGCCCGGGCCCCGGCGCGCCGAGCATCTCGCGGAGGCCGTCAACGGCCATCCGGAAACGACGGCCCGCGCGCGAGGTCGACCCGTGGGCCTAGTCGCAAATGGCCCTGAGGAGGATGCCCCCTGCTTTGCCCAGGCGAAACGCCCGCCGAGCTCGGTCGCTGTCCCCGGGGCGCACTTGCCCCGAGACTGCGAGAACTCGGCCGCGCGCGCGGTGGCCTTCTGCGCGGGCGCCGACCATTCGACGAGGGCGTCGTCCGCGAGGCGGCGGGGGGTGGAAGAACGCGCCCAGAAGCATGCCGTAGCGCCCAGGCTCGAAGAACGCGTCTTCTGGGCGCCTGCCCACGGCGACCTCGAACTCACATCGATCGCGCATGTCGCAAGGCATGCGGGATTCGCCGGCGGCTAGGCCCTCGGGGCGCGCCCGACGACGTCGCCCGCGCGGCGGTCGCGAAGGGGCCCGAAAACCGACGGGCCACCGCCGCGACTGCCCGAGGCATGCGGGGGCAGCGCGGCGGACGCGCGCGGCCGCCAGACGTCGCGCAGCTGGGGGGGGGGGGCGACCATTTCATCCATCTCTGCAGTTATCACCAAGGACGCGAAGAATCGCTTGGGCTCTGGCGCAGGGTCGGCCCGGCGGAACATCTTCTTCCAGCCCACCTTGGTCAAAATTAGTTGCACTCGCGGGCGGGCGCTCGAGACGGCCCGGGCCGGGGCGGCGACTCCGTCGACGACGAGCGCGCGCATCTTCTCGTTGAGCTGCGTTGCAGCGGCCGCGCCCGAGGCGCGGAGCCCCTGGCATCCGCGGACTTCGCCGTCTTGCCCGACGCCGAAGCACGCCCGGTCGACGAAGCCGCCGACGGCCCTGCACCACGCGCGCGAGGTCGGAGACCCCAGAGCCCCGGGCGACCTCGAAGCGCCCGCGCGCAGCCGCGCAGCGACCGAAGACCAAAACTCGCTCCAGCGCGCAGTTGCCAGGGCGACGCGGCCAGCGCGCTTGCGGACCGCGGCCGCCGTCAAGAGGTCGCTCACCTCAACGGCGGGCTGCCCCCGTCGCGGCGACCGCGCGCCACTTGGGGGCGCGCGGCCGACGGCCGGGAAACCGCCGCGCAGCCCATTGCCGAGGCCGGCGTCGTCATGGCGGGCCGCCGCCGGAGCGGCCTTCAAGGGTGGCCCTTGCGCGTGGCCGCGCACTTGCTTCGCGCCGGCCGGCGCGCTGCCTGCCCTCTGCGCCCGCTCGCCAAAAGCGCGGAGGCGCCGCTTCCAGCTGAACTCGCGCGACTGCCGCGGCCGGGAATCAGGCGGGCCCGCGCCTCGGCCCTGAGCGCCGTGGCATCGCGAGCGGTTCTTCGCAATGACAGCCTGGCTCTTGGAAAACGACGCGGCGCGGGCCGAGCCCGCGCCGACGTCGCCTCGCAGTCTGCTGGCGCAGGAGGCGACGCGCCAGGACGGGCGGGCGCCCCCGCCACCACCGCCGGGCGGGCCCCGGCTGCTTGCGGGGGCCGCCCGGCGGCTGGGCGCCCCTAGGCTCGCGCTTGGGCGGCGCGAGCCCGCGGCTGCGGGGGCGGGGGCGCCCCGCGCCCTGCCCGCCCGCCGTCGGCCGGGTCCACCGCGCCGCGGCCGCGCGACTAGGGGCGCCCGCCTTCGGCGCCGCCCTTGCCGCCGGCCCTCTCCCCCAGGGCGCGCTTGCCTTTTGTCTCGATCAACTTCGGGCCGAGCGGCCGGGCGCGGATCGCCGGGCAGCCCGCCTGCGTCTCGGCGCAGAACGGGCGCTCGCGGTGGAAGGCGCGCGACTTGCCGCACTCACGCAGGTCGCGCTTGAATGGGAGACTGCGTCCAGTTTCCGCTTGGAGCTTGCGCCCGCGGCGTTGGGCTTCGCGCCCGCTGCCCCCGCTTCGCCCGCGTGGCAAGATCCTCTTAGTCGCCAGGCACTGCTTCTCCAAAGGCTTCCGGGTTCTTCTTCATGGCTGCCCCCCAGGCGTTGCTCCTGGGGGCCCGGTCGCCAGCCATGGCGCGCCTTGCTGCCTGCGCCGAAGGGCTCTTGACATTCGCGGCCAACGCTGCGACCTTGCCCAAATTGTTGAACGCCGATGCGACGCTGAGCCGGCCGCGAAGCAGCCCCGCGGACTCGGACACGGACGTGGGCGCGGCCTGCGTATCGCACCGCGCGGGCGCCGCAGGTTGGGGCCGAAGCGCCCGGGAAATGCCTGACGCGTGAACTGCGGTGAGACACTGCTCATTTACAACTCATTTCCTGCATGCGCGTCCACTACATCAAGCCACGCATCTGTCACTGCGAAGTTGACCAGAACGCGCAGGGCGTCGTTCGGATTCAACGCTCGTTGAAACTTCTCCTTTTCAAAACCACTCCACCTACCAAGAGACGACTTCGCAAATTGAAGATGTAATCCTACCGTGTTCTTTTTGGTATGCATTTGTGCCCCCGTGATTTCAAATTTTCTATGCTCAAAGAGATCCCACCATTGCACTCGCGCTGCCCGAGGGGCCGGCTGTGCCCTAACAACTTTCCGGAACCACCTTCATTTGCGACATCTCTGCAATTGCACACAGGTTTCAATATGCAAGCTGCGCATATGCGTCTCATCTTCCCGCACGCACAGCTTTATCCCATCCACCTAAAAATCCAGCCACGTCTCGCCGTCGTCGTCGATCGAGCTCTAGTTTTCAGCCGAAGAATGCTCGCTCGGTGTCCTCGGCGCAAAACATTGCTATGGTGAATGTGTGGTTATTGCATCCCGCCTCCTCCGTAAAGTGAAGTTGTTTTACCATGTGCAACATCTGTCCGCTTGACCCGCTTTTCCTCTTCTTCGATGATTGCGCAGGCCTCACACCCGTAGAGAAACCCAGTAAGCACAATTCCACTGCAAAGTCAAAGTCAGTTTTTCACCGAATACCTCCGTCAATGAATGCCTCCACCCGGTCAGTTTTCGTGTCATTCCGTGAAAATTTCTCCACGCTGCAGCGATGTGGTTATCAATCTCTGTACGGCTCGGCTCAAGGAAACATAGCTATCTGCCCTAGTATGTATGTTGTGTGGCTGTCCAGTGTCAAAGCCTCGATGTTCAGACCATTGGTATGAGTGCGTCTCGGATCCGAACGCGCTTGTCCAAGTAGCGGCCGTTGTGAAGAATGTCTTGTCCTTGGTGTTATGCCAATCCCACGCGGCGGACTCCCTCACACTAGTCCCAACTCATAAGAAACATGTAATGGAGCCGGACGTCCATTCAGCGAACGCGCGGCCCTCGACCAACGACCCGCTGTCTTCCAGCCCCTCGGCCGTGCTGCTGTAGGGGATCAGTTTCTTGCATTTGGCAGCCGCATAACAGAGCTTCATCTGTTCCGTGGTGTGGTATGTCCAGAGGGCTGGCTTCCCTAGCCTAGACTGCTCGATGAGATGCCCGAAGTCGTCGGTTTGTTCCTGCTCCTGCAAAAAAACAAGACCGAGTCACTTGACAGCGCGAGCGCAGCCTGGAGCAAGCGAAGCTGATCCTGTGGAGCGCTTCCCGGGGCCGTAGTTGCAAGGCCCTGGGGTGACACGGCCGCCGATGCGGGAAGGCAACTCTTCTTCACGAGCTTCGCCACCGCCGCCCGGAAGCCAGGGGGTGGGCTGGCGTTCTCCTCCTGGAAGTCGCGTGGACTCCAGGTGACGGCCAACTCGTGGACAAGGTTGCCATAAGGCGTGAACTCCGTTAGCGCACAAAGCTCGCCGAACGAAGCCAAACGTGTTGTCAATAATTGATCCTTGATATCATTGTTAAGGTCGTCGGGCCCGCACGTGGCCTCAACGATCTCCATGATCTACTTGCTGTCATCCGAGACGCGGGACGGCGGCTGCTGCCGACCTGACGCCTGGAAGAGGCCCGCCTCGAGGGCGGCACTGTCCCTGTCCACGGCGATGCCGACGGGACCTCGGGACGCGTGCGGGGAGGCGGGGGGGCGGGAAGGCGTGCCGGCTGGCGGGCAGACGCTCGCGGTTCGTTTCTACGCGCGAGCCCAAGCTGCAGGCGGAAAAAAGGAGGGAACCAACTGACGAGTCTTAGAGACACTGCAAAAAGGGAGGGGTGGGGGCGAGAACGAGAAGGAGGAGGGCAGGAAGACGTGGTGAGGGCGAGGAGGAGCAGGTGCTGACCACGGCGCCGGGCGTGAGGTTCTCGCCACTGACCACCGCGCTCTTCATCACGAAGATGTCCTCTCGGCCCTCGCTCAATTTCTAACCGCCGCCCCTCATCCAACCTTCCCTCCCACATAAAGCCCTCGCCTACCCCCTCATGCTTTTCCCCGACCCCCTCCATTCTTGCGCCTCTGAGCACCCACTCCTTCTCATCTTTCTCCTGCTCCTCCAGATTCGCATGTCTTTTCCGTAACTCAAATTCCATATCGGAGGAAGCCCCTGAGTGTGGCCCAGAAGCTGTAGCAGGTTTAACCTTCTACAGTGTGTCTAGCATCTCTCGAATCTCCTGTTTGCTGGTCCGACTCCTGAGGCCGTCTCGCCCCGGCCCCGACCGTTCCCTCTCTGGGGGAGCGCACGTCCGCGCAGGCCTGACCCAAGCCCGCAGGTGGTCCAGGGCCCCCACGGCAGGACAAGGGAGAGCGAGGGTGGGCGTGAGGCACAGTAGGGATCACGTGGTTGGGGAGGGAGCCTCGGTTCGCGCCGCTGTCCGCGCTGCACTTCTGATGGGCAGACGAGGAGCCTCCTGTCGGGCTGCTAGTGATCACGGGTGCCCCCTGACCCCCTTGTAGGCATATGATGACAGATCCATGTGTGGTCCTCGGTCGACCGAGATCCTCCCCCTCCGCTGGGGCTCAACCGCCATCTCGGGTCAGGCCAGCTTTGGCTGAAGCTGGCAGCCTACCCCGTGATTTTCCAGGGCTGTACCTGTGCGAGTGGTCATTTGTGCGCCGCCACCTGGGGATGCCTACGTATGCAATTGCGATGCTTTCCCTTTTCGTTCACAGCCTGCAGTACACTTACGTCCCCTTGGCTTGGCGGCGGCTGGTGAGTGCTTCACGGTCTCACTGTTCATTGTATTCTTCGTGCTGAAGCTATACGTCGGCACCTAAGTTGCACTGGTCCTCACGATTGCACTGGCCGCCGCCCGCAACGCAGTCGGGGGCAGACCGTCGTTGGCGCGTGCCAGATCGCGTTTGCACCGCAGTCAGGGGCAGACCATCGCTGGCGCGTACCAGGTCAAGTTTTGGTGTCAGGGCACAAGTGTTTATCTTGTGGCTCGGCTGCCTGACGTCGATAATGGGGTGGTGCGACGGCTTGTCCGTTGTGTTGAGTCCTCGCGGTCTTCATCGCAGTCTTTGCGTCAACACCCCCAGGCTTCGGGCCATCGTTCTTGTTTCAACTGATTCATCCCTGTGTTAGGCCTCGGCGCCTTGGTGATGGATGAGTTCGCGCGAGCGGCGTGGCCATTGAATCTCCATGGAACTTGAGCAGTGCCCCACCAGTGTCACAAGAAGGCGAGAAGGAGAAGGCCTTGGTCGGCATGACTTGCATATTCAATCACACGCATAACTCCGTCAGCACTACGCTGCCCCCTCAGCATTGGGAAAGGGGAGGAGGAAGAGGAGGCGGAACAGCAGGAGGAGCAGGATTTGGGAAGGTTCTGGGCGACCGTAGGTGTCTGTGGGAGGAGGTCCTGGCTAGGGCCAGGGGTCGGTGCCTCCTACATCCTCTTTCCTCCTTCCTCCTGCGTCTCCTCCTCCTCCTCCTCCTCTTCCTCCTCTTCCTCCTCTTCCTCCTCCATCCTCAGTCGGCTCCTCCGCAGGATTCTCTTCCGTCATCCTCCCCCTCCTCGTCCCCCCTCACCGCGGGGCGGCGCCCTTGCCGCACACGCGCGGGACGTCCTCACCGTGGCGTCCTCACCGCAGGGCCCTCTCAGCCCTCATCCCTCTCCTCGCCGCGGAACGGTGTCCTTGGCATAAACACGCTGGCCCCTCAATCGCGGGGGCTGCACTCGGCGGACGTTCGGCGCGCCGCGTCGAGGGCCCGACGAACAGAGCGAGCGTTTGCACGCGTGCGCGAAGGACAATCGCTCTCCACAACGACAGTGGTCTCTGCCCCTCGTCCTCCGCCTGCGCCTCCGGTCAGACAAAAGAGTGGCCTCTGCCTCTCCTCATGCACTTCTTCCTCCTCCTCCTCCACCTCCTCCTCCACCTCCTACTACTACTACTACTACTACTACTACTACTACTACTACTACTACTACTACGACTACTACTACTACTACTACTACTACTACTACTGCTACTACTACTACTACTACTACTACTACTACTACTACTACTACTACTACTACTACTACTACTACTACTACTACTACTACTACTACTACTACTACTACTACTACTTACTACTACTACTACTACTACTACTACTACTACTACTACTACTACTACTACTACTACTACTACTACTACTACTACTACTACTACTACTACTACTACTACTACTACTACTACTACTACTACTACTACTACTACTACTACTACTACTACTACTACTACTACTACTACTACTACTACTACTACTACTACTACTACTACTACTACTACTACTACTACTACTACTACTACTACTACTACTACTACTACTACTACTACTACTACTACTACTACTACTACTACTAGGGCCACACCTGACCTATGGCTGGTGAGGTTTTGGTTTGGGTTTGGGATTGGGTTTTGGTTTAGGTTGGGGTTTGGGTTTGGGTGGTTTCTTTGTTTTCTATTGGAAGCCAATTGTTTAAATTAGTTTTCCATTGGCAACCAATTGTTTTAATTAGTTTTCTATTGGGAACCAATTGAGTTAATTAGTTTGCTATTGGAAGCAAATTGTTTTAATTAGTTTTCTATTCGAAACCAATGGTTTTCATTAGTTTTCTATTGGAAACCAATGGTTTTCATCAGTTTTGTATTGGGAAACCAATAGAAAACTAAGGACTCGAGGATTCACCTTAGGACTCACAGAGGAAACCTTCGGATTCACCGAGACTTCCTTAGGATTCCTCGAGCATTCCTTGGGATTCCTTAAGAATTCCTTAGGATTCCTGGAGACTTCCTTCGGATTCCTGATGAATTCCTTCGGATTCCTGGAGACTTCCGTAGGATTCCTAGAGATTTCCTTTGGATTCTTGAAGAATTCCTAAGGAATCCTTGCGAATTCCTTGGGATTCCTGGAAAATTCCTATGGGATCTCAAGGATTCCTTAGGATTCGTCCGGGATTCCTTCAGATTCCTGACGGGTTCCTAAGAATTCCTTGTGAATTGCTTGGGATTCCCCCGCGATTCCTTGGGATTCCTCCGAGATTCCTTCTGAATCCTTCGAGGTTCCTTACGATTCCTGCTGAATTCCTTTGGATTCCGGTAGAATTCCTAACGATTCCTTTGGGATTTTTGGATTCCCTAAGAATTCCTTGGGGTTCCTGGAGACTTCCTTGAAATTCCTGAAAATTCCTTAGGTTTCCTGGAGGCTTCTGTGGGGTTCCGCAGGGATTCCTAAGGATTCCTCAGGATTTCCTGAAGACCCCTTCAGGATTCCGTAGGATTCCTTCGGATTCCTGGAAAATTCCTTGAACAATTCTTAGGTTTCCTGTAGGCTTCCTTGGGCTTCCTGAAGAATTCCTTCGGATTCCATGAGATTTCCTTAGGATTCCTGGAGAATCCCTCAGGACTCCTCAAAGCTTCCTTGGGATTCCTAATGAATTCCTGTGGATCCCTAAGGAATTCCGTAGGATTCCTGAAGAATTCTTTAGGTTTCCTAGCGAATTCCTTCGGATTCTTTCCGAATTCCTGAGGATTCTTAGAGAATTCCCGAGGATTTCTCACAGCGTGCCGGCCATAAGTCAAGTGTGAAGGACGCGTCGTTTACATCGGGTTGTCGTACACCTGTATAGAAACCCAACCAAACTACCAGTCATAAACAAGCCGGCCATAGACGACGGATGACAATAACAATAGAACAAAACCCAGCGGCAATGCGCCATGGACGCTCTTGGGCGGCCCTCTCACAGCTGGTACGAGGAAGGCCGCCGATGGGCGCTTCCACACCTCCTTCGCCGCGGCGTGCGGGCTTCAGCCTCAGCAGTGCGATCGCCCCTCCCCGCTCTCCCCACGCTGACGAAGAGATCGTATCTCTCTCTCACTCTCTCCCATTCGCCGTCTCCCACCGGTCGTCCTTTTCCGAGACGCGCCCTTGCTTCCGGCCCAGGGCACTGGCTCCGGAACGCGAGGTGTCGGAGGGTGGGGGAGCGGGCGGCGGGGCCGCGCGGCGCCAGCCCACCAGATCTGCTGCGTCTGCTGGCACTGGATGAAGCCCCACCCCTTCTGGGGGTTCCAGCTCTTGACGCTGCCTGGCTCCACGGGAAAGGCGGAGGACCGCCAGAGGGTCCGCGGAGAGCGGGCGGCGTGGGGGCGGGGTGGGGGCGATCATCCTTCGCCACACGGCGCTACACGGCTGCGCGCTGATCCGTGTCGCTACACGGCTGCGCGCTGATCCGCAGCACCCAGGGCCACAAGAGCCACCCCACGGCCAAATCCTGGGAACTCGCGTGAGAAACATATATCCCCACCTTCACGTCTTCGCACGGTTTGTCCCGTACATGGCGAGGACTGCCAGTGTCCGGATGTTGATACGCCGACGTCGAGGGTGGCGAGAGTCAGTCGTCCCTGCCTCTTCGTACGGACACACACGCGCACACTCGCAAGCTGAGGGCCCACAGCCCAGAGGGCGACGCCATGGCTATGGATACGACTCCCCTCGCAACGATCAAGCGGCACCGCAAAGCCCA